ATGTGGGGAGCTAAGGAGGCCTACCATGAGTGGGTTGGAAACCATCCCTGAAAGACTCAAAGCAAGATAGGATCAAACGAAAGAAGGACGGAGCCACAGACCCAAAGCAGGCAGCTGAGGACTGCCACGAAGGTGGGATAAGACTCAAGGGCGTGTGGCCTTGCAAATGGCAGAGATCAGGGTTGGGAGGGAGAAGGGGCAATGCAGGAGCCTCGGGCAGGCAATCAAGCCTTCTCTAAGTCCTCAGCTTCTGTCACCCCCAAGGAGGAACAAAAGTCTGTTTCCAGGGGAACGGCAGTGGGTTTGCTCAGTTTAGAGAGGCAGGGTGTGGCCACAGCCAGGAAGAGCAGGGAGCCCCTGCCCTTCCCCCACACATGGTTACTGGTTCATCCTGCCCAGGGCATGTCTCACCCTCCTAGCTCATGGGGGACAGGCCACAAGAGGGTCAAGCAACAAATACAGCCTTAGAAGACTAACTCCTAGGGGTAGCTCAAAAACCAGTACCAGCACACAACCTAGAAATACCGAGAACATCAGGAAAGCCAACGGCACGATGGAGAGATGCCAAATGAGCAAACTGATGAACCTGTGCCAAACCACAGAGGGAGGAGAGAATGTTCGCACTGGAGCTAGGATTAAAAGGCACAAGAGCCTGATGTATCATTCAAAAATAAAGACTTAACTATTATATTCCTTGAAAACAAACTACCTGATTCCTACAATATAAAAAGTGCAATAGATTGACTGGATAGCAGAATGGCCAGGGCTGAAGCTCCTTCTTGACATAGAGATTAACCTCATGGCTTCATGAAGCACAGTACATAGGCCAAGGAAAGGGAAAGAATGAAAAGTGCATTCATTGCCATGAAATTACTTATCAAAAACCAGAAAAAATCAAAATGTCGATCAATAAACTATCAGATTTTCTACTGCATGCAATAAAATACAATGCTCACGGATATGGAGAGCGCCCCTCCACTCGGTATATTGTTGATAAAAACAGAAAGCTGCAGAATGATACTGGTATGAAAGATAAACACACACACACACATCCCAACATCAGATCTTTTGAGGATACATACCTATATACACACATTGTCATGGATTGCATAGTGTCCCCCAAAAATGTGTATCAACTTGGCTAGGCCATGATTCCCAGTATTGTGTGGTTGTCCTCCATTTTGTGATCTGATGTGACTGTCCTACATGTTGTAAATCCTAATCTCTGCTGTGGTTAATGAGGCAGGATTAGGTTACGTTAAAGAGGGTCAGGGTGGGATGCAACACCCTTACTCATGTCACAGCCTGGATCCGAGGTAAGGGGAATTTTCCTGGGGTGTGGCCTGAACTGCCTTTTATCTTACAAGAGATAAAAGGAGAGAGAAGCAAAAAGAGAGATGGGGACTTCATGCCACCAAGAAAGAAGCACTGGGAGTGGAGCATGTCCTTTGGACCTGGGGTCCCTGTGCTGAGAAGCTCCTAGACCAGGGGAAGACTGATGACAAGGATCTCCTCCCAGAACCGACAGAGAGAGAAAGTCTTCTTCTAGAGCTGGCGCCCTGAATTCAGACGTCTAGCCTCCTAGACTGTGAGAGAATAAATTTCTGTTTGTTAAGGCCATCCCCTTGGGGTATTTCTGTTATAGCAGCACTAGATAACTAAAATACACATGAATGCACAGGATGAAAGACTGGAAGTAAATACACCAAACTGCCCTGTCCCAGTGGAGTGGAGGTAAGGCTGCGACTAAGAGGGGTAGTCGAGGAGGGCTTCAGTGTTGCCTGTAGAATCTAAATTCTTAACTAATGGTTATATATTTGTGCATCAGTCATACAATTAAAAACTTCTCAGAAAGAAAACGACAGGATGTCATCACATTTTGGAGATCAGAGAAACGAACTTTAGACATCACATTTACTCATTTGTAGCCTACGTGGGGGCGCTTCACTTATTATTAGCCTCCATCCAAGACTGTGGGGGCAGATTCCCAGAATCCTCACTCCTGGGAGAGGCTGTAACATTGATGTCAGTTCAGCTACACACCGGGTACCATGCACACAAGGTCTCCGTCATGTGTCACAACTCAGCCCTCTGTGGTCACTCCATTTACAAAGATGTGAAGAGTAACTTAAAAACATAGAGTGGGGATTTGAACCCAATGGGACCTCAGAACCCTGACTCTCAACCACTTTTGTACCAAAAGGTTCAGTAAATGTGACTCTGAGGCATTATGCCGATACAATGATTCAAATACTTTCAGCAGTTAGGATGAAAATGACCACAACATTGTGTCCCTACCTAAGCAAAGCCTAAGGATTTGGAAAATGGGTGGCAAAGGTCACACAGCATTGCCCAAGTATGCTTCCAGGGCAACGGCCCCATAAGATGCTCTAGGAAGAGAAGGATTCTGAGGTCACGGAGGTGTGGGAAACTGCCTGTGAGGTGTCCTAGATGAATCACCACACGTCGCCTCCACAAAGACTCCGATGGAGCCAGGAGCAGGTAGCCCTGCTTATTGAGCTTGATTCTGTCTAGCATTTCTAATGCTCACTTGAGCACGGAAATCTTTTCTGGGAATAGCATTTAAAATGGCACAGCGCTCACTTCAGGGATCAAGGGAGCTGAGGAGGACGATCTGAGAAAAAGCCCTGTGGGCTCTGCATTCCAGGAAGAATAAGTACTTCCATCAATCACATAACAAAACATTAATCACCGTAAGGTCAACTACAAAGGTGACAACTAACACACTTAAAACATAGATGCTAACTGCTAAACGAGAGTTAAAAGAATCTTTCATTAAGTCTGATGCAAAATACGTCCTGATGGAAGAAATTATACGTGTTCTATGCTACCAATAAATAACAAATAAATAACCATATAGATCAAAAGCTTGGGGGAACTGTTTCCAATAATGATGACAGTGGATTTACAATAGGTAAAATGTACCTGAATATTGAGAAGGATATATTAAGACCCCAAAGGGTAAACCAACAAAGAATATGAGAAGCAATATGCAGAAAATACATTAAGGAAACAAATTCCCCCAAACATTTGTCAGTTTTTAACAGATGTGTAGCAAGACTGAAGAGCAACCGTCAGGCTAAGGTGAGAAGACAGAAAGTTCCAGAAAAAAAGAGGAAAATGGAGCCTACAGGTTACCTGGTCTATTTGACTACGTGGAAAATTGCCTCAAGAGGGATTTTACCATTCTGTCAGAGTTGAGCAGAAAATTGTAACAGGCAAAGAGTAAACTAAGAGAATATAAAAACAAGAAAAATTTGTTTCTCCCAGGAAAAATAAAAAGGGATACAAGGAAGAAAATGTAATTATATTGCACACTTGATTTAACAGTAAGCAATATTTATATCACCATAATAAAGTAAATATTGAAGAACATCTTATGTCAAAATTATACAATAATTATTCCAGGGAGGTTGTGGTGTGGGGGGCTGAGAGGGTGAGGAGTAGTCTAGGAGAGCAAATTTCCCATTTCTCAGAACAGAAAGTAAGCAGACACTGTCTAAATCTGACACATCAAAATATTTCCCAATAAGCATACTATGAGGAAATAAGGAGGTAAAGTCCAAATAAAATAGATTACAAAATGAAAAGACTGCTTTTGAGAAGCCGTGCTAGAAGACGAGAAGGAGTAAAGGGGACAACTCGTTATGGTGAAATAAAAAGAAAAATTAACTCAGGTCACATCAGAACGTTTTCATCAGGAACGGGTAGATTTAATCAATCAGCAGATCAGTCAAGACAGAATGAAAATGGATCAATTCTGACAGATGGAACAGGGAAGTAGAAGTTCCTGTGTTAGACGCTCAAATGCTTTCTATAGCCATGCAGAGTACAAATTAATAAGTCAATTTTTTTTTTTAATATTTTATTGTACTTCAGGTGAAGGCTTACAGAACAAATAGTTTCTCATGAAACAGTAGTACACATATTGTTTTATGACATTGGTTAACAACCCCACAACATATTAACCCTCTAAATTCTCAACCTTTTTTTTTTTGGTGAAAATACACATAGCCAAAGATACACCGTTTCAAAAATTTCTACATACACAGCTCAGTGACAATGACTACGCTCTTCCAATTGTGCTGTTATTCTCACTTAAGATGAAGGCTTACAGAACAAAATAGTTTCTCATTTAACAGTTACTACAAATGTTGCCCTATGACAATGGTTAACAATCTCACAACACATCAACAATATCCTTACTCAACCTTGGGTTCCCTATCACCAGCTTCCTTGTCCCCCTCTGCCTTCTGGCCCTTGTCACTGGACTCCTGTACCTCTAGTCTCATTTGGTTTTACGGGACTGTCCACTCCCAGGCTGAACAGTGAACCTCGGAGGTAACTTCACCACTGAGCTAAAAGGGTGTCTGGGGGCATTACTTTCAGGGTTTCTCCAGTCTCCTTTAGGCCAGTAAATCTGGTCTTTTTTCTGTGGGTTAGAATTATGCTCTACATCCTTCTCCAGCTCTGTCCAGAACCCTCTGTTGTGATCCTGGTCAGAGCAGTTGGTGGTGGTAGCCGGGCACCATCTAGCTGTACTGGACTCAGTCTGGTGGAGGCCTTGGCAGCTGTGGACAATTAGTCCTTTGGACTAATCTTTTCCTTGTATCCTGTTCTCTTCATTCTCCCTCGCTCCCAAAGGGATGAGACCAGTGGAGTATCTTAGATGGCGGCTCACAGGCTTTTAAGACCCCAGACACTACTCACCAAGGTAGAATGTAGAGCATTGTCTTTATAAGCTGTGTCATGCCAATTGAGCTAGATGTTCCCCGAGACCATGGTCCCCAGAGCCCTCCGCCTGCAATTCAGTCCCTCAGGGAGTTTGGATGTGTCTGTGGGTCTTCCATGACAATAAGTCAATATTTAAATGTTGGATTTTAATATTGAATTTTAATTTTGGATTAAAACTTTACCCTAGGCAAAGTGAAAACACTCTCCGCCCAGTGAACTGTATCTGCGTCTAGGGCTCCACTTACCATGGTTCCTGAGGGTCTGTCTCCAGCCCGATGCTCTCCCTGGAGGTCCTGCTGCCTGTCTGCTCCGTCTGCCCTCAGATCAAGGCGTCTCACACTCAGCATGTCATTCTAGAAGTTCAGTATCAGCCCCACATCCGGTCCCCTCCAGTGTTCCCTGAGTATAACAGTGGGTGGTACCACCTCCTCTGGTTTCACAAGCCAGGGCAGGAGCAGAGCTAGATAACCTCTGTTCTTTCCTCAGTGAAGATGATCAAAAGTACAGCTCACCGGGCATATACACTCATGTCCGAAAGTGTAGAATACGTCCTCTTTGGTAATCCAGTTATCAGCAACGTTCCCAATTCTCTTCACCTTTCTTATCATGTCTTTGGCCAGCCTCCAAAAACAAATACAGAGTTTCCGAGAAATAAAAGAACCAAGAGAGTCGTTTTTCGTTGTTAAGCCTAGTGTCATATAAGTTAAATATTCGCCTTTCTACTCTTATTTTTGGCTAAAGTTGATTATATTTAAGATTCCAATTCAAGCACCTTTGAAGAGAAGACAAAACATCCATAACGGATTTTTAAAGACAAAAAAAATTCAAGTTGATATGAGTTAAGGTTTTGTCAGACAAAATTATACATATATAGAAAAGTTCCCTGATAATGCAATGTCAAAATAACTGTCTTTTAAAATCCAATCAGCCTAGCTTTTTCTTAATCTTCCCACTATTCCTCAGTTAATTAAAAAACAACAACACAACCAACAAACAAAAGATTCCTCTTTTTCCAAGTCAGATAGAACCAAGCTGTTCAAATGCAAGATGGAGGAGTAAGATGAGAACAGAAAAATTAAGTCAGCAGTTCGAATCCAGTCAGTCTTTGGTACTCTGCCTTCTGTTTTAACTGCTTTAGAAGAAAACAAAAAAACAAAAAACCCTCAGTGCATAGACATTTAAAAAAACATTTCCCCCCAAGGTCTGAGTTTCTTTTCTTTTTTTTTTCCCTTCACCCACTTACAGCTAAACCAAACCAAAAGTGGACGAAAATGTTAAAATATGGAAAACAAACGAAGTGGAGGTGAGTTAAGGGGTGATTGGAAAGAAAAAAAAAAAATGTGTAAGGTGAAAGTTGAGAGAGTAAAAATTATCTCGGATTATAAAAAAAATCTGCCTTGCCATTCATTAGGCACAGATAACAGACGGAGATAAAGCCAACTGCAGAGTTAACAGGAAACAATATTTCTCCCAAAGACCTACTGTTCTCTTACCCTAAAATGGTACACCGTCAGAAACGTAGCTGTTTGAAATGATATCAGCAAGGATGAAACGTCGCACTTGTACTTGGACGATCTAAGGCACTTTGACACACAGACGCAGCCTCCACTTACAACCCAGGTGCAGATTCAGATAACGGGCTTTTGTACACAACATTCCGCATCGATCTGAACATTGCAGTTTCCAAGAAACGAGGACCCATGTCTACTTCAGAGTCCAGACCTGATGGTGAGCCCTTCACACGCAGCCTTCTTTGCTTTGAGCCCATCACATTTCATCTAAACTCCAGCCTTCCCCAAATCCTCAAACAACTCTATCTTTTCTTTGTTTGGCAAGATGTCCCAGAGTTCTTCTGGGGCGCAGTCCCCCTAGCTGCAACAAGTCAATAAATCTGACTTTGGTTGACTTAGGTTGATTGGTCTAGGCCAGAACCAAAATAAGGATTCAAGGAAAGAGATGATCAGATTATTCATAAAATAAACAATCACGGACTTCCTAGGAGTCCCTGGGTGGTTAACCCACTTGGCAAATGGTTAACTCTCTCCACTGCTAACTGAAAGGTTGTTGGTTAGAGTCCACCCAGTGGCACCTGAAAAGAAAGGCCTAGTAATCTACTTCAAAAAAATCAGCTATTGTAAACCCAGTGGAGCATAGGTCTACTCTGACATAAATGGGGTCGCTGTTTGCTCTGTGGGTCTAGAGGTCTTAGTTCTAAAGGGAGGAATGTTCCCACCTGGAGACGCATCACTGATTCCATTGAACTGGAAGTTAAGAATGCCACCTGGCCACTTTGGGCTCCTTATGCCTCTGGATCAACATGCAAAGAAGGGAGTTACCATTTGGCCGGTGTGAGTGATCCTGATTACCAAGAGGAAATTGGACTGATATTACATAATGGAGGTAAAGAAAAGTATGTCCAGAATGCAGGAGATCCCTTAGGGCATCTCTTAGTACTACCATGCCCTGTGATTACAGTCAATGGAAAATTACAGCAACCCAATTCCAACATGACTACTAATGACCCAGACACTTCAGGAATGGAGGTCTGGGTCACCCTACCAGCTGAGGTGACTGCTGAGGACAAAGGGAAAATGGAATGGGTGGTGGAAGAAGGTAGTTCTAAATACCAGTTACGGCCACGTGACCAGTTGCAGAAACGGGGACTGTAATTGTTATGAGTCTTTCTTCCTTGTTTAATTATATGTGTATGTAGGCATACAGATAGATAGCAAATATTTTTGTTTTCTTCCCTCCTTTATCCCATTACTTATAAAATATAAGATGTAAACGGGGATAGTGCATTCTCAGTTGTACACGTTAGTCATATGATGCTAGGCACAAGTATGACTTTATAATTGTCTTTATTTAGAGATTATGTATGGTTTAAGGAGATGTGTTCAGGTGCCAAGCTGGCAAAGGGTGGACTGTGGTGGTTAATGTTATGCATCAACTTGGCTCGGCCATGATTCTCAGTGGTTTGGCAGACCCTGGCTGATTGCTCTAACATAATGTAATATAATGTAATCACCTACATGATGAGATCTGATATAATGTAATCACCTCTGCGATGAGATGTGATATGAGCAGCCAATCGGTTGAAAGGAGGGTTTCCTTGGGGGTGTGGCCTGCCTCCAGTATGTAAATGCGTATTCCAGCAAGGCTCACTCTCTCTCTCCGGATCCTGCATCCAACTCGTCATTATCTGACCTCCAGTTCTTGAAACGTGGTAAGTCAGCAGCCTGCCGCCTCACCTGCAGATTTGGGGATTTGCCAGCCCCTGCAACACGAGTCAGGAGAAGCCTCCAGCCTGATGCCTGACCCATGGATTTGGGACTTGCCAGCCTCCACAACTGTGTGAGCCATTTCCTTGAATTAAATCTCTCTATTTATATTTATATTTTTCACTGGTTTTGCTCCTCTAGAGAACCCAGCCTAAGGCAGTCACCATGACTGGGTCTACTGGATGGCAACTGTTTGTTTGTTTATTTGTTTTAATGAAGAGAAGGGCTATACAAAATTGAAACAGAAAGCCATATCCTAACTAAGATAACCACAAACACGACCTGGAGTCTCACACACGCTGCTTGCTAGCTATGCGATCACGGGCATGTTGCTAAAACTGAAACTGGTTTCCTCATCTTCAAAATGAAAAAATACACAGTGCGCACTTCAGAGAGTCGATGTGTGAATTAATGAGATGATCCATCTAATGTGTCTGGCACAGTTAACATATCATAAACGACCAGTAATTTATGCTGTTTGGCTTTTTATTTGCTCTTATTTCTATTAATGCTATAGGGTTCCATCAATTCAACTAATTGTTCTTATATTCTGCGTAGTCAATTACCAAACTCCTAGATTTACTGAATATGGATTAAAGCAATTATACTTTAAATTTGTAATTAACTTTGAAACTCACACATATATTTATATTAAAGTTACAAATATTATAAATATTAATATAAAAAGAACTATAAATATATGTTTATATACAGTATATACATATACGTATACCTACCCGTTGCCGTCGAGTTGATTCCGACTCATAGTGACGCTATAGGACAGAGTAGAAATGCCCCATATGGTTTGCAAGTAGTGCCTGGTGGATTCGAACTGCTGACCTTTTGCTTAGCAGCCATAGTTCTTAACCATTACGCCACCAGGGTTTCCACATATATATATACACTGGTAATACATTGTTATCATTCACTAAAATTGAATATATTTATTTAACCTTATATTTTGATCTATATGATTGAAGTCAGTGAAATCTTGCTATTTCAGACTCCCTGAAAAGAAGGAAATGACCTCATCTAAGTATTGGGAAGTATGAGTTACTGTGCAGTTTGATTTCTTTCAAAGGTAAACAGTAACTCAGTGGAGTTCGAAACAAACCCATAATCGCTCAGCCACAACTCCAAATAGCTCTGAAAACAAGTGTTTTTGGTAACAACACCGACCTAAACAGAAACACAGCTCTTATAGTCTTTACTCCCCTTAGTGAGAATATTCACACCATCGAGGCAGAAATAACTAACGTGTGGGACAGCAGGGTGCCACACAGATTGTGCCGGAGTGGTATGTACTATACGGCGCCTGTGTGGGAAGGAATTTTCTAAATTCTGAGAAGTGTCTTTTTTAATTCTGAAATTTATATTCTAAATTTAAATGTTAAATTCTGAAATGTAAGCGCCATTTAAATTCTACATCCTGAAAAATCCCGAATTCCAAAACATGTCTCGGCACAAGGGTTTTGGATAATGATAACACATGTGCTATGTACTGCGTAGGTCCAGTCCTGTTAAGAAGCTTTTGGTTTAAAAAACAGAGAAGCCAGACCTGCATTTAGAATATTAAATGAGAGCCTAAAGAAAACCAAAGTGAGAAATTTCTGACATGGAAATCTAGGGATAAAATAATATTTCTGCCAATCTCGTCTCTCGGCAAAGGTAAAGACTTAAGGTATACACCCCATTTTTATCATAGCTTAAAACATTCAAAACATTCTAATTATTAAGACTATTTGTAAAATCCTGTATATCAAAGTGGAGTCCCTGGGTTGTACCAATAGTTAAAGCCTTTGCTGCTAAATAAAAGGTTGGAGGTTTGAGTCCACCCAGAGGCACCTCTGAAGAAAGGCCTGGTGATCTTCCAAAACACAGCAGCCATTGAAAACCCTACCCTAACACACACAGGGTCTCCATGAGCCAGAATCAACTTGATGGCAAATGGTTTCTTTATCAAAGCACTCCAAATACGGCGGATAATACAAACCAACTTCTATTTTACTGCAAAATTTCTCTGAATACATAAAAACAAAATTGTAAGTAGAACCAAATGATTCAATAAAATAATTGCAGCTGACAAGATTTCTCACCTAAAACAGCGAATACTTTACAAGTATTCAAACCTTATAGCTCAATTAGAAATACATCCATGTATGTGCTATTTGGGCTTTTTAGGGGGGAATATTTAATTTTCAAGCAATGCTGCCCACGTAATAATAGCACTAAATTTGTTCTTACTAAAACAGACAACAGAAGAATCAATTCTACCTCTTCCAGGCATTCTAAGGCACGACACAGTTTACTTTGTTTTTTGAACATGAAGAGCCAGATACGGTCCATCTCCAACTCTTTTTAACTACACACTGCAATGTTTCGAGGGTTACGAAAGAAGAAAAACTTCTCTAACCAACAGTTTACTTGAGTTCAATGGAATATTTGGCAAATCATGCACAATTCACGAAATAATCTGCGACACTTTCAAACACAAGATTCAAACTGAAACTTTTCCAACGATTGTCCTAGTTCTTGAACATTTAAACATATTGTATTTATTTAGTTATTTAGGCGGGTTTAAGTTGTTGAAGCCATATTGCCAAAAATACTTATTTCTATTTCCATTTTGCTACACAAACATTTTTGCTCCAAATGGGCCACTGCTAAATTAGTTCACAATGAAACTGTATCCAAAAAAGCAATTATGCTAAATTGTAGCGCAATGATTCAGAAATCTTCATATTTTTCTTAGTCAACTGCTCCTTCTGTAGTAAAAAATACGTATATATGAAATCTTAGACGGTTTAGGAACATGTCTATATTGAGTAACTTAGACACTTGGTGGGTATTTTCCCGGGGATTGTGTAAATGGCCAAAGGAAAATTTATTTCTAAGATCAAGTTCCTTCTGCTGTGCCTGATTCCAGCGCTGCATTTCCCGGGACACTTGTACTGTCTCCGCCCTGCCTGCACGTCTGGGACACCTGATGAGGCCCTGTCTCGCGCTCACAGTCAGCTCAACCCTGACCTCGGCGCGTCCGTTTCCCGACTCCTCCCTGGCCCAGGTCCGAGCCCATCTTTCCCATAAAAGGAGCTGAATTTCTGAAAAGTAGGTTTAGGAGAAAACCGGGCAAAACCTATCTATTCTTAGTCAAATAGTTTTATCAAATTGTACTTCCGATTTTAAAGGACCCTGGGTGTAACTGCCCCGGTGTGACTGAGCACCATTTTTTAAAAGGGGTAAAGGATGAACACAGCTGCACCTTCGCTCCCTTCCCTAACAAAAGAATGCGAATAGGCCGCAGCCTCCGGAGGTCCCGGGACGCGGCGGCGCGGGCCCGTCCCCCGGTCCTCGCGAACCGTGCGGAGGGAGCGCGCGCGTTTGGCCACACCTACCTGTCCCAGGTGAGGCGGGGGCGGAGCCGGCGCAAGGCGCGCCCCACACCTGAGGCGGGGCCGAGCGCGTTTCCTCGCGGGTGCCCGGCGCCTGGGCCGGGTGTTGGGGCTCTGGAGGCCGGGTCGGGGGGCCCTGGCAGCGCGGCGGCTGCAGCGGGCCACGTAGGGGGGCGCGTCGCCGAGTCAGCTGGGGCACGGTTCCGAACCGCCGGCTCGCCGCTCCTCCTGCTGCGGGTTCTTGCCTCAGCCGCCCGGTGCGCCGCGCTTCCTCATTTTGGGCAACTTCCTTAAAGCGTCCGGGCGGGTGCCCGCACTTCCTCCCGGCCGTGGCGCCTCGCCGGGCGAGCGTACCG